CTTTTATATAGAATTCATTATATATTTAAATTTAATTGTTCCTAATAACATAGCCAAAAAAACATAACCTCATAGTTTTAAAAATTCCTACATTCTTAGACTATTTTGAAGATTGGGCAACACTGCAAGGCTATGACTTCACAACCTCCGAGCAATTACTACTAGAGGGAGTCTTCCCCCCTACCCCGCGCTAAATTTTGTTAGCAACATCTACTCCCCCGAGGGGGAAAATACCTCTTCTGTAATTGGCTTATTTAATCAGCGTTGCCAAGTTTGACAGCGCCAGAAGTGTTCTGTGAGCGCCAGTTCTGACACATGTCAATTTCTTATTTGTATTTTACGAAAAATATTATTATTTATAACGTTGTAAAGGTTGTAAATGTATATTTAAGATTTATTATCTCTAATATGGTGAAAACATGCTTTATGTGTAAAAAGCCTGTTGAAAATGCTTCTTCAAGATAATATCATAAGTAAGTACAGACACAACCTAATTATCAGAGGCGGTGCATTAGGCAATCACCTTTAATTTGCAATTAAACTTTCTTATTTTCTTATCGAAAAATTAAAATTAAGAGCAAGTACACTCCAGCTAAGTTCGTCTTCATCCGTCTCATAATGATTATAGTAAAGGTTAATTACTTATTATTATTATTTTAATATCACATCTTTGTAAAGTTTATTGTTATTTTTTTAGGTTTCCTTTTCTTGATATGAGAAAGAAATACATGATTCCAAAATATAGGAATTCAACAAGTGACCACCTGAATAACTTTTTATGCTAATGCATTTTTATTACAGACCTCAGGGAAGGAAAATATTAAAGAAAAATGCAATTTCGACGAAAGAAGTATAATAATCAATCCTGTCACTACTTCTACACTATATTCATCTGCTACTAAAATACTAAAACAGCAAGTAAGTAGAAACTTAAGTTTCTTTCAAAAAGAATGTTTAAGGAAAAAGGCATAGCTATTTTTTTGTTGACACTTTTTTTTAACTAATCTAAAAGACTAATTTTGTGTATTGTTTAAATGTTCATTTTTGGTACTTAATTTGTTTTAGGTTTAAACAAAATGAACTTTTAAGATATGCATGGAATATCCTAAAAGAGCTAAGGAAGGTTTTAAAATTCTTAAGAAAAGTATTCAGAGCCAAAAACATAAATAGGTATAAATATTTAGATATTATGAGTGATTTTTTATTCTATAAATAGAACATAATTTGCTTCTAAATCACTACCTAATGCACTATATTATATAGTACAAAACTAAACAAGAATATCACATTATTCATGTTTTTTTTAATTTCCTTAGAAAACGTCCCAAAAAAATGTGAATATTTATTATTGGAGTTAACATCGTTATGCTAAAACAATACTAGAACAACTTAAATAATGTGGATTTTGACTATTTTGAGTTATGCAGATCATTATGATCTAAAAAAATGTTTGTCTGGTGCTATAGTCAGGTATAAAAACATTCATTTATTTAAACACAGTTGCAATATACATTTTATTTAGTTTTTAAGTTAAAACCTATTAGGACATCCTAAAATTACTTTTTTCGTTTGATGTGAGATTAATTATTCTACATTTTTGTTGGTGAAATAGGATATATTAAGATGTCTTACTGTTTTCTCTGATTATCTAAAAAAGTTAAAACAATATACAAAGACTGTTATAACAAAAAAGAGATATACCTTTACTGAAACACACAATTAGTCAGTTCAATTTAAAGCAGAAATCCAGAAAACTTTAAAAATGTGTTTAAATGTGTTTTTACTATAACAAGGACATAATTATTAAAAAAACTTGGCACATTAACATTGACGGTGGGTTTTAATAATATATATTATACAAATCACAACGAACTATACAAAATGACATTATTAATAATTTAGCAATAAAAAAGTTAAGTACAATGATGACATTAAAAGTTGAGTTTCTCGAAATACTTTTTTTAAATTGTCTCAGTAACTACCTAGTATTTTTCTAGCACAATGATATTATATGAATGTGCATTGTGTGATATATTTTAGGAATAAAATTATATATTTTTTTGCAGGTTTCTGTTAACAACGATACCAAGAACTTTTGAAAATATTATTAAAACGGCATTTGCAAATATTCTCAATTAAGAGCTTTTGATCTAACATTAAATTTTTATTCTCCATAAGGTTATAGCTTCCTAAGAAGAAAGTTTATCAAGACTTACCAGACTCAAAATATCAAAATTTTACCAACCAATTGATGGTTCTACTGGTTTCCATAGGAAAATTCTCCTCGAAACTACTAAAAGAAAAGTGGCAGATGCAACCGAAGAAGGCAAAAAAGTCTTTTTTAAAACAAAAACTAGAAATTTGTTTAAGAATCTAATTATTGTTTGAAGTTTTACCATTAATAATTTTTGATAACATTTTAAGATTATGAAGTTCTATTATGAATTTTACTCTTTGATAACCTATGTTTAAATTTTTATTAGGACCAAAATAAATTATAATTTTCACTTCAACTACAAAAACCCTCATAATATTAAAAAGGGGGAAAACGTTAGATTAGTTATGTTCAGGAATAAACTCTTTAAACATTTATCTACTTAAAATGTGTTTAAAGGTATGTTATTAACTTTCTATTTGTACTTATATTAATTTATTTCATTTTATTATCTGTTGTATTTTCAAATTGATTCTAATATTAATCTTATCTATTTATATATTTTTTATACTCACATATATGTTTTTTCGTTAAAACAAACGTTTATTAGCTTATTAAATATAATGAATTCATGTTGTTTTATTATATGCTTGCATGAATGATTACTTTTATTTCCTTTTAAAAATAAATTTCGAAGATAAAGCCGAAAAGGTGAGTGAGAATAAAAATTAGACGAAAGTGACGATATTTACTGGAGCTTTCATCTACACGCTCCTTTTTCTAGCCATCTACACCTGAGCCAGCAAGATTCGTTTTCCCTCCATCCTTACATTCTCCAGATTTACAGAGAAAACGCCGTCCTCTTTAACATATCCAGACCTTCTTTGACGGGGACTATACCACTACATTATCAGCTTTATTTGTTATCCCGAGCAATTTAAATGCATTCGTAATTGCTCATTCTCACCTCTTCTTTTGTTGATTCCGTACTCAGTTTTCTTATTTTTAGTTACGTTTGCACTGCTCTTTTATTTTCACAGCTTTAATTCTATAATGCTGTAACGTTACAATATGGATCCATTTATGTGGTTTATACTATTTAATGTTATTCGTAAGTGACCAACCTATTATAATAATTAAAGATTATTGTATTACAGGCCTGAAGATGTTCCTGTAAGGCCGAAACTAGTCGCTCCTGTATTTATAATAAAATTGATTTTAAGGTTTTATTCTTCAATTGAAAAAATTATACCTTTACAGTGATTTTGTTTCTTTTCCTACATTAGACACATATAAGACGGTATTCTTTTTAAAAATAGTAAAATTAGCAAATTTTTTATTTTTTTTTTACAATTAAAACGTTTGGACAATGTGTGTTTTTATAGATAAATGATACGCCACTGAACAAGAAGGATGTTTACCTTCCCCCTTGTGCCGGCTTCCTCACTTCCTCTATAGATGTTGCTAACACAACAACCGCCTACAAACTCGTTTTCACGCTCCCTTTATTAGTAATTGCTCGGAGTTCACAACTGATTGATGATGTGTATCGGTTTTTATATTGAATCACATACTTTGATTTTCTTTTACTATACGGAGAATGGTCGCACTGCGCAGCTTTCTGAGTGCCTTTTAAAAGGAGATAGAAAACTCCGCCATTTTGAACCCTTATTACGTGTTGCCTACATCTTGGCGCAATATTTTTAATAGGTGCCTTTTAATCATCCGCTTCTGCTTCGGAATTGTCAGTTTTCTTGTTTTAATCTGACAGGTTAAAACGACTAAACCGACAATTCCGGAAGCAGAAGCGGATGATTAAAACGCACCTGATATTTTGCTTGCTGCTGTCAGTGTCAGTGAATATTATTTTTGAAGTCACAGTTTATTGCTAAACAATCAGTTAGCTCACTCGGACCAGTTGAAAGTTCCAAAATAACATCCACTCCAGGGATACAAATTCAGGATACGCAGAAGACTACTGTTTTATTATAGGCGGTTGTTATATATTGTATTATCCGAGTTGCGCAGTGTATAAACTGGAACATTGAGATCCAAAGTGCCGACGCAGAGTGAGCGATCTGATTCTTTAGCTGTAAACTGTGTCACAGAGTTCAAAATGGCCGCGCCCTGTGTTGGGCGTGTCGGACCTCTCTCTTGCGTCGTATAGTAATCAAAGTATGTGTATTGAATGCTCTATACCACTACCTATCTCCGCTTTTAACTACCAGATTTCGTCAAGTGTCGCGGTCGTAACAATACACAATAGTAATTCAACTTGCGAATTTAGCACGCCTATGCTCGCTCAGGGAGCGTACTGGGCGACTAGTCTAGAAATTGTAGATAACTGCAGAAAAAATTAAAACGGTTTTGGCCCTTGAAATTTACTGGAATAATCAGTATGGCCCTAAGGCCCCTGGTCTAGGCAATCACATGAACAGGATGGCCTACTCCGCCTTGAAAAAACTAGGCTTTCCTCGATCGGAGCTTTCCGACTTTGAAGTTTTATCCAACTCAACCATAAACTTAATGAAAAGATATGTATTGTACGGTAGACTATCATTTTTAGGCATGATCCACAATAGACCCATCCCGTTCATAGTGGGAGGTTATACTTATTGTTAACCTAACACATTTGTTAGTGCTAAACAGCCACGTTAAAAATACAAGGTTGTAATTGATATTTGTACAAAAATATATGTCAGCAAACATTTATTGAAATGTGAAATCAAAAGACAAAAACTCATTTTATATAAAAAATATTTGTTCTATAAATAAATTAGGTACATAAAATATTTATTAAAAAACTATGTACAGAGGAGAATATTTTTAACTAAACTAATTATTGTTAACTTTTTTGAGTGTACAATTTGTAGTACAATCCGTTTTTATTTAACAATTCCCTATGTGTTCCAGCTTCTGCGACAACTCCTTGATCTATGACACATATTAGATCTGCATCTTGTATGGTTGTTAATCTATGGGCAATTGTTATACAAGTTCTTCCTTTTTTAGCTAGATCGAGCGCTTCTTGTACAACCTATAAAAATTAAACATTTTAATGTCATTCGAAATATATAAGCAACAAAAGTATCGCCTAATTTCAATAGTTCTTAAGATTCGTCTAAAAATAGATAATATACTTAAAATATTTTAATATTAATGTGCGTATAGATATAACGGGCTTACTTCCTAGCACAAATACACCAATAGATAGAAATGAAACAGAAAAAACGAAAGAGAAAAAGGGCCTAGGCCTACAATCTGAAGAAATGACAAAAGATATGGCCACCTTTATACTTATGACGCAAGAGGCAGAAAATACTTTACGGGAACCAGGATCAAGGACTCCACAGCGACTCTTCTTAACAATAAGTGCTCAAAATCTTAATAGCGCGAGTCGGCCTCGGACCACTCGCAATCACAAAGGTAATAGTAATACAAAGAATGGAAAATTATTAAAAATACTACAGATAAACCTTGGCCGAAGTCGTACCTCACACGGTTTAACAGATGTACTGGCTAGCAAACTAAACTGCGATCTCGTAATAATGAGCGAACCAAACAAAAAATTAATGCAAAAAGAAGGCCTATGGGTTTCGGATAAGAACTACGATACATCAATAAAAATTCTAAACCTAAGATTAAGAACAGGAAGAAAAAAAAGAAGAAATGGCTCAATATAGGTGCATATAGAATAGTTTCGTGTTATATCTCTCCGAATTGCAGCATCCAGGAATATGAAAGTCATCTACAGGAAATAGAAAATGATATAAGACGAACAAAAAGAAAAATATTAGTCGCAGGCGATTTTAATTCCAAATCTCAAGAATGGAGCTCAAATAGAGAAGATATCAGAGGGCGTAGGCTTACCGAATTGATAGCCAAGAACCGATTAGTAGTGCAGAATAGAGGCGATAAACTTACATTTATAAGGGGTATGCAGACGTCGATAATTGATATCACGTTAAGCTCTAAAACAGGTAAAGAAGAAATTAAAAGATGGGAAGTAATAGACGAAGAATCAGCAAGTCTTCATCAATTTATATGTTTTGAATGATTGCGAAATAAATCATGTTCCGCGCAAACCAGGATGAAACTTGAAAAAGTTAAATACATTTAAAAGTTTATTAGAAAAACACTTTCAACCAGGAAAATCGTTTAGCCCAACCGACATCATAGGTAAATTAAAAGAAGTTTGTGATGGATCAATGCCTAAGAGAAAGTGGAACTCAGAAAGAACAGCAAAATACTGGTGGACCGGGGAAATTGCTGAAAAACGAGCATCATGCAACAAATTGAAAAGACAAAAAACAAGGGTTAAGAGACATATTGCAAGTCAAGCAGAGATGAATGAGATAGAAGCCAACTTAAAAAGTGCGAGGCAGAAACTAAAAAGCTTGATAATAGAAAGCAAAAACAACGCCTGGGAGAAACTCTTCGAAGCAGTAGAAGAAGATCCTTGGGGAAAGGCATACCAAATAGTAATGGGAAAACTAAAATCAAGACCGTTGGATATACCACCAAAATTTAAAAAGGAAATTATCAATACCCTATATCCTAAGCAAGGGTTTAATGTTTCGATACCCGAAGAAGAGGAGGACGAGGATATCCCGGATGTGACCATGAAAGAATTGGAATCGGCTGCCAAGATGCTCAAAAATCGTAAAGCTTCAGGGCCCGACGGGATATCGTCCGAAATAGTTAAATTAACTGATAACGAACTCCCAGGATGTTTCCGAGAGATGGCTGATGGAATTATAAAAAGTGAGGTTTTTCAACGAAATGGAAAATTGAAAAATTGGTTTTCTTCAAGAAGCCGGGAAAGAAAGAAGAACAACCGTCTTATTATCGACCCGTATGCCTACTTGATTCAATGGGGAAATTAATGGAACAAACAATCGCAGCAAGATTAAATGACGAACTTAAGCGAAAAGGAGATTTGTGCGAAAGGCCATACGGATTCAGAAAGGGTATATCTACAGAGCATGAAGTCAAGAAAGTCGTAGAGGTTGCCAAAAGGGAAATGGAAAAAAAATCAAAGATCAAAAAGCCTGTGTGCTCTACTTACTCTAGTCGTCAAAAATGAGTTTAATACAGCTTCTTGGAACATCATACTCAAACAACTAAGAAGGCGCTAAATATCTAAATACCTGGAGAAGAGTATATGAAAATAGGTGGAGTTCCTCAGGGATTTGTCTTGGATCCACTACTGTGGACTATCCTATATGATGGAATATTACAAATAGAGACTACGCCACATATTAATCTCATTTCCTACACAGCTGACTTAGCGGTCATAGTCACAGACAGAATGGAGGAAGGCCTCATAATTACAGTTAACACCATTCTGAAACAAATCAGCGAGTGGATAAAACTAAATGAACTTAAACTGGCACCGGAAAAACAGAGGGGCTGTTACTAATTGGTAGAAAAAAAAACTGAATAAACCAATAACGTTTACAATTGAAGAAGTTTCTATTATACCAAAAAATAGTATAAAGTACCTGGTGGTCACATTCGATATAAGCTTGTCATATAAGGAACACTTAGAGAATACAGTGGCCAAAACAAAGAAGGTTATGGCGTCGTTAATAAGACTAATGCTTAATAAAGGGGGAGCTACGTAAACAAAGATAAGACTATTGGGAACAGTAGTCCATTCAATCCTAATGTATGCAACAGAGATTTGAAAAATGTTTTGCATAGAAAAATGAACCGAACAAGCTCGCACAAATACAAATACGATGGCGATCAGAATCTGCAAAGAATATAAAACAATATCTATGGAAAGCAGCCTTGCTATTGCCAGAATTATACCCATAGACTTTCAGATCGAAGAAAAATGTGAAGTTCAAGGTAAGAGTATAGCTGAAAAGAAAGAAGATAGAATAAAAACTTTAGAAAAGTGGCAGAGAAAATGCGAAACATGTGAAAAAGGAAGATGGACGTACACACTCATACCTAATATTGAAAAATGGAATAAACGAAAACTAGGGAACGTCACATTTGATATCACTCAATGTCTGACTGGTCACGGCTGGTTTATGGAATACCTTATTCAGTGCGACTGAGCAACAAGATTGCACGTACTGTCTGAATGTGAACACAGTAGAGTATATGTTGTTTCAGTGCATAAAATGGAGAGAGATTGGGATAAAGTTAGAAGAACGTATTGGATTTAGGCTCACTGAAAAAACATTTTAGACGTCATGACCAGTAATATAGAGTAATGGAAACAGATAGGAAACACGATGAAAAAGATACTGGGACAAAAGAAGAGAGATTTTAGAAGAAGGAATATATGGGCATACCCAAACAACTTGTTGGGAAGTACCCACGACCATCCTTACATCACGTTTCTTCGAAGTTATGCCGACAGGTGATTCCGAGGAGACATTCCTGTGAAAAACAGTGGAAGATTTTTAGTCGGTAGAAATCTGGCACTATTAGACGTCTCAGACCTCTAATATCTTTTGAAGATTTTGTTACCATTCTCAATAAAAAAAAAATAAAAAAACTTCCTACTTCGAATCTATTTAGCACGGTAGACACACAGTACCGTACAAATCTGACTAAATTACTTGGCCCGTTCTTGGGACGATGCAGGCATGGCCCTAGCCCAGCCAGTTATATTTATATTCACCTTTAAGGTACTCTGTGTAATGAGAACTAAAGCAAATGAAACCATATAATTTTTTGTTCATGATTACTTTTTGTCCATTTTTTTACACACTAAAAAAGACTGCGATTACAGTATTATTTCTTTAGTATTATATAAAATATAGTATGATTTTCTACGGTGAGTTTCTCAAGAACGTTTAAAATGAATTCATACCAACTACAAAATCAAAATAATAGAGCAGGAATCCGTGATGGTCGTCAACCTGAAGGGAGAAATCAGATTTACGTTGCTCAGGAACTTAAAGTGAATCATTCTACCTTTGCTTTTCTTGAAACAGGGACAGCTTTACGGTTACTTTACCCGCAGAAGGACGTTTAGTGACACTTAGAACAAGGACTGTAACGGCGCGATGTCTACAAAATATACTTCTTATTTCATTTAAATCCTAATTCTATAAGAAGAGGGCTTCGTGAGAATTAACTGACTTCCTACCAAGCTAATACTCGATAGGTACTAACTGCGAAGAATAAGAGATAAAGACAACGGTTTGCCCGAGTTCATGTAAATTTAGCAGAAGACGATTGATGCTGATGAATCTAGGTTTTGCTTGTACAGTAATGACGAGTAAAAGTATATAAACATGAAGGAGAGCGATCCGCCCAGTACAAAATTCTTCCTAGGGAGGCATTTATTTGCATACACGTACTGAATTGAACTTTTTGTAAAATAGGGTTCTTACTGCTTGAAAATGTACAGAAAATACGTTAAGAACCTAATGTGATGCCGCTCCTTTTAGTGGAACGTCCCCATCTCTCTCATCTCAACCTGTTAGAATAGATATCGGATAATATAGACAGGATAAATTTCAGCTCGTTAAAACCCTCTGAATAGTCTGGATGACCTTATAATTGCCTTGCATAATTGTATATGGGAGAATACTACAAAATGATATTAGGAACTTTTTCTTTTATGCCAAGACGATTTTAAAATGTTATTCAGGCACGTAGTAGAAATATGAGCTACCGAAACTGAAAATGAGTGTCGTAGTATTTGTTACACCTACATAAATCGAAAAATTTCTTGATTAAAGCCCGCGAGCTAAAGCTTTTGGGCTCTAATCAGATTATTAATGTCAAAAATTATGTCTCATTAAATTAATATTAAAATATTTTTGAGATTTAGATTTAACAAAAATAGCTGGCTATTATCAAGGTCTTGGTATATTACTCTTGAATATTTTTTATTTTACGTTACTTGAAACTCATACAAAAATTCAAAAAAAAAATAATATATTTGTATTTTGGGTTTTTTAGAGTTTATTGAAATTTTGCGATACTTTTGCTACTACGTTTTGTATCAAGTAATGTATTTTGTATTATAATTCTTCAAAACAAATATTAAATGAAACAAGAGGTCACAAATAAAAACTAAGTAATTTTTTATTAAAGATCAAATACCTTTTTTTTGGATAACATACCTTTTCACTTTCTGTATCCAAAGCAGATGTCGCTTCATCAAGTAGTAAAACTTTTGGATTTCTTACAAGAGCCCTAGCAATAGCGATTCTTTGTTTTTGTCCGCCTGACAGTTGTACTGCCTTTTCTCCTAGCTTAGTATCATAACCCTAAAAAACAGATGAATAATAAATTTTCCTTTAATGGGAAAAAATGGGTTATAATATTAATATTTTTAACGTTGTTAACCCATAAGAATTAAGTTATAGCTGGAGAGTCCGCGACTAGAATTTCTCGACCTCACAAGTATTCCAATTTTTTTTAATAGTTTATGTAAATATAAAAGACGGATATCTATGTTGTGAAAAAAATCACCGAAGGTTTATAAAAATAGTCATAATAGTTATCGCGGTACGTCAATTTCCGTTGTGCTCGATTAGCCGGTTTAGCCATACTTCAAATTTCATGACCGGAAGAACAGAAAGAATGGCATAGAAAAAGACAAGAGTAATGGAAAGAGTAAAAAGTTCTAGAAAACGTATGGCCCATGTTTAATGAATGTGGAAATAAGGAAGAAATAAAAGAAAGAATAAATAAAGGAAATAAAGTAAGACTACATTAACCGTCAGTAACCACCGCTTGTGAGACATGGGTTCTCTTCTAACCGAAGATACGAAAAATAGATTAAAGATATGGGAAAGGAAGGTACAGTAAGCGCCAAATCTAAAGATGTTCAAGTTCGTTTACTTAAAATCGCCACGCCCATTCACAATTTGAACCTTCTCCTTGCTTACGGTCAGTAGCGTAACGACTAAATCATTGTTTGTTTCTTGTTTTTGTGTTTTGGTTAAAGTGACTGGTTTTATTTTTGATAATATCTTCTATTGTGGGTGAAAAAAGCGCTATTATTAACGGATAAATTCGTGAAGTAATATACAATGTTTTTAAATAGAAAGGAATGAGTTACTTTAGATGATATCAAACTTCAAACTGCACAAGCAACAAATAAACATATTTTGTAGTTTATTTGCAATTAAACTTGCGTAGTTTTTCATATTTTTTTGTATTTTACACATATATCTATGCATTTTATTTTTGATTAATATTTTATGTAACATATGCATTTGATGAGTTGTGTTGAGAATACGGCCACACCGCTTTACGGTTACCCCCATGTTACCCCCATATTACCCCAACTTGAACCCTATCGAATTGATTTGGGCAACTGTTAAGAATAATGTCAGTCAAAGGAATGTTACCTTTAAATTAGAAGACGTAAAACAGAAGAAGAATTTAACAAAATCGGTATGGAGGAATGGAGAAAGCGATGCGATCATATTATAAAGGTAGAAGATAAATATTTGAAAGAGAAATACAAACTGATTTATGTTCGGAAATTAATCCTATCGTCATTAATCCTAATGAGGATTCCAGTGACGACAGTGACGAGTCTTCTTCCAACCAAGAATCTGACAAAGAAATATGAACATTATTTATTTGTGATTTTTTGTTTACTTTGTTTGTATTTACTTATAGGCTATATAATATAAAATTAAACAGGTTTTTGTTTTTCTTAAATTTACGTAAAATCAGAAGTTTTTTGGACTATCCAGTTTTGAAATGAAGACCCGGTATAAAAAATCGGCAGGATATATTACTTTATACACATATTATTTAATATTTTGTTTATAAAAAAATTAATGTCAGTTAAAATACAAAATACTAGACCACCTGAGCTCTCTTTAACCTAAAGTCGGTTTACATAAAAATAATGATTTTTTAATTGACTATAGAATTATGTACTAACAATAACACTAAGCAATATGTATGAACAAGCATCATTCACCATTTTCCATTTATTTTATGTCTTAAAATATATGCGCCCCTGGTTTACAACTTTCTAGGTAAGCTACCAATTCTATTCATCGGTAGGCGTGTTCGTAGCATTATACATGCGCGTCCTTGGTTCTTTAGATTTGGCGTTTACTGTATTGAGATCAATTTTTAGGGGAAATGAAGCAAATAGAGTCTGGGAAAGAAGGGTTACTAAATAACTATATTAGTTGTAAATAAACCTATGATAAAAAAATAGTTAAACCCCGAAGAATAAGGTATCTAGGACATGTTTGTACAATGGGCGAGAGAATGTTACTGAAGAAGTTATTAGGCATAAATTTGTTAAACAAAGGAGGAAGGGGAAGATCAAGAGTAAGGTGGAAACCATCAAGTAGAGTCCAATTAGAATAAGAAGAACACAGCTACGTCAAAGCCATTATTAATTAATATATATTTATCTATAACTATTAATAAATAGAGAATAAGAAAGTTGTTTAAAAAAATTAATTCTTATATTTCTAGAACACTAACAACACGCTACATGACACAGGTATGTTCTTCAATAGGCAATTTATGGTGCCGCCTGAGTAATCGTAACATATTCGTTTCTAAGTTGAAATCGTATCTAATTATCCAAAAAAAAAAAAAAAAAAAAAAAAAAACAGACAATTTTAACCTTACGAGAAACGTAATTTCCTGTAACGTTATAAAGGTAAAAAAAGTACTTATTTTTCGCTTATTGTCGTATATTTATAATTTTGCTATTTATAAGTATATAATACAGGTTGTTAGTATATTTAACTGCCAACGCTCTACCTCAGAGAGCTCTCGTTATTTGATGAATTTTAATGTAGGAACATGAACCTTTAAGGGGGTAGTTATCGAAATGGATGTTAGAAAGTTTAAAATCAAAATTAAAAATTTGTCATAAATCAAAAATGCCTTTAAATATTTTTTTTTTCAAATTTGGTGACCAAGAAAGTAATATTTGGACAAAAACTAACTTTTATGAAAAATTTAACCAGTGACGCGCGAGGGTTAGTGTCAACTTTTCCCCCCTATTTTTACGACACTGGAAATTTGTTTTTTATATTTTATTCGTTTTAATTTAAAAAAGTAATAACCTTTTATGGAGCTAAGCCGAACGGTGTTGCAGACATCAATAATTATAACTCAATATTTTTAAATTTTAATCTAGTAGGCACGTGTTAAATTTTTGATAGTTCGTGTATTTGATAAAATCTTAGTAGATTAAATTTTTAAAAAAATATCTAAGGACGTTTTTCATTTGTGACAAATTTTTATTTTTGATTTAAATCTTTTAATGCCCTTTATCTCGGTAACTACGAACTTTAAGGGTTTATGTTCCTTTAATAAAATTAATAAGAGCTCTCTGGGCTAGAGCGTTCTCGATCAAATATACTAACACCCTGTATATTAGAAATAAGTGTATAGTTATAGAAATAATTTATACATACAGTACGTCTACAAGTTACATATTTTAATTGATATTACTAACTTTTACTCACTTTTACTTATTTTATTTTTACTTATTTTTACTTATTTTTACTTATTTTTACTTATTTTTACTTATTTTTACTTATTTTTACTTATTTTTACTTATTTTTACTTATTTTTACTTATTTTTACTTATTTTTACTTATTTTTACTTATTTTTACTTATTTTTACTTATTTTTACTTATTTTTACTTATTTTTACTTATTTTTACTTATTTTTACTTATTTTTACTTATTTTTACTTATTTTTACTTATTTTTACTTATTTTTACTTATTTTTACTTATTTTTACTTATTTTTACTTATTTTTACTTATTTTTACTTATTTTTACTTATTTTTACTTACAAACATCGTTAAAATGGATATGAACGAATATCATCGACTTTAAAATAATGAAATAAATAAGTTTTATAATTTTTCAAGTGAAATATTTAATACTTTTTTTTATACCAAAGCCATTTGTCATACCTTATCTCTTTAAAGGTTAAAAAATTAGTGATTCCGGTAAAATATAGTTTTTTAGCTATTAGAATAAAATTAGCGCTCGGATTAATTGCAATATACGTTTTAATTATGGCCATAAATTTAAATTTCGCATTAGTGTCACATTAACTTCTGTTTAGTATTTATTTGCTGTAATGTATAGCATTATAGCTCCCTAGCTACTTTGCAACTGCTTGTTTCATTCCACCTTCCCTTGAATTTCACAAGGCAATATTCATTAATTAGATATGTCTCGACCGATATTGTTAGTCCAATAAAAGTGTCAAGTTCAAAAAGTATTTGGTTGGTTGCCTGTTGAGCTAGTGAATCAGTACGACGGCAACTTTTCGATGTAACGTGGACTTTTATTCATCTTAAGATGACTGTATTGTTGATGGATACTTCGACCAAGACTTGGTGACATTATAGTACTAACTCCGAGTAAATTCTTGATCTCAACAGAGTGCGTAGTGCTGGTTTTTTTTAACTGTAGAGACAAGAGTGCTCTTTCCAGTGATTGTTTCTGCTTCATAAGTTCAGTTTGAACTAAACGGGTACTATTTCGCACAGTCCAGTTTATTTTAAGGTTTAAGGATCTGGAGTATATTCCACACCCTGGCCGGGTTTTGTTTTACAACCGACAGTGTAAATTTTTTGATTATAACTTTATAGGGCTTTGAAAGATTATATCACTGTGAGATAGAGCCTACATCTCGCCTCAGAGTATTCTGCATCTGGTTCTGTTTCAGCCCTGTATACGCACCAATGACGTACAACTACTAGAGTTATCATGTTTACACAAATCCAATTGCAAACATACGGGCAGTTGTCAAACTATTATGAGAAAGATGATGAGAAAGTATGAGAGGGTCTTGTTACAATAATTTTTTATGGTTATAATTTGGAATTGACTTAATATAATGCTCTAAAATACACAAATGGTTTTAAAATTACATTAAGGACGTATATTTGCGTTCTTAATGTTTTTGTCTCGTTACAACCATCATAGGTGAGTTCGATTTTCTGGATAGTACCTAATTTAGTTAAGTGTGACAGCAGTGTAAAGCAAGCATTGTAGCCGTTATTACGGATCAATTTATAAAACATGTGCTCGCACCCCAGATAAACTCGCGCAAATCATCCCCACTCAATAAAAGCTATTTCGCTCGTTCTAATGTGGCAGCCGATGCGATAGCTGTCTACCTGATACACAACACAATGTGAATGCTTGCAATAAATAAGGGCCTAATTATAAATTAATAATATATTAGTCTAGTAATTTTTCGTCTTTAATACACATTAACAATTTTAAAACTAAACCATTGCCAAATTACTTAGAAATAAATATTTCGCAGCATTGCCAAGCTTATTTAGTTTTCAGGAAATTTCATTGTTACAAATGTACCTGTTACTTTTATACCACGGTTAATATGTATGTAAATCGTATTTAAAATGTTTATACAATCTCCTGTTATTATTATAATAGGTATGGATACTTGAAAATACATTACGCTCTTACATTAGGCAATCCAATTACAAAATTATGGATGTTTGCATTTTTTGCTGCTTGTATAATTTCATCCATGCCCACTTCTCTGGAGTTATCACCATAGGCTATATTTTCAGCTATAGATTTATTGAATAAGTTTGGCTCTTGAGCAACGATACCCAATTGTGACCTCAACGATGATAAAGATATATCTCTGAGGTTTTCACCATCAAAACTGACGTCTCCTGATTTTGGATCATAAAACCTTTCAATCATTTGAATAATGGTTGATTTTCCACACCCACTTTCACCAACAAGTGCTAAAGTTTTTCCATTGAGAACGTTTAGGTTAAGTCCTCTTAATATTGGAAGGTTTGGCCTGGTTGGATATGAAAACTCAATTTTAGAGTACTCAATTACACCATTACCCTAAAATTAATTGGTAAAACGTTTCAAACTGTTCTAAAATATTTCGCTTATTAGTTGTAATTTTAAATATACTGATCTTTTATGCACCTTTTCTAAATTTTTAGCATTATGACGATCCCGAACAAGCGGAAGTCTTAAAAGAAAACTTTGTATTTTTCTTGCTGCTACTAATCCCTTTTGAAAATTCGGAGCGAATGCTAATGTATTTGCAATTGACACTGTTCCCATTATTTGTGCTTGTGAAACTCTGGAATAAAAAAACTGTTATACAAAAAACATTTGTCTATCTATAAAATGTTATACAAGAAAACATTTGTCTATCTATTAATACTTGGAACTAGTTCGACATAGTTAAACAAAGTTAAACAAAGTTAAACAAAGTTAAACAAAGTTAAACAAAGTTAAACAAAGTTAAACAAAGTTAAACAAAGTTAAACAAAGTTAAACAAAGTTAAACAAAGTTAAACAAAGTTAAACAAAGTTAAACAAAGTTAAACAAAGTTAAACAAAGTTAAACAAAGTTAAACAAAGTTAAACAAAGTTAAACAAAGTTAAACAAAGTTAAACAAAGTTAAACAAAGTTAAACAAAGTTAAACAAAGTTAAACAAAGTTAAACAAAGTTAAACAAAGTTAAACAAAGTTAAACAAAGTTAAACAAAGTTAAACAAAGTTAAACAAAGTTAAACAAAGTTAAACAAAGTTAAACAAAGTTAAACAAAGTTAAACAAAGTTAAACAAAGTTAAACAAAGTTAAACAAAGTTAAACAAAGTTAAACAAAGTTAAACAAAGTTAAACAAAGTTAAACAAAGTTAAACAAAGTTAAACAAAGTTAAACAAAGTTAAACAAAGTTAAACAAAGTTAAACAAAGTTAAACAAAGTTAAACAAAGTTAAACAAAGTTAAACAAAGTTAAACAAAGTTAAACAAAGTTAAACAAAGTTAAACAAAGTTAAACAAAGTTAAACAAAGTTAAACAAAGTTAAACAAAGTTAAACAAAGTTAAACAAAGTTAAACAAATTTAAACAAAGTTAAACAAAGTTAAACAAAGTTAAACAAAGTTAAACAAAGTTAAACAAAGTTAAACAAAGTTAAACAAAGTTAAACAAAGTTAAACAAAGTTAAACAAAGTTAAACAAAGTTAAACAAAGTTAAACAAAGTTAAACAAACTTAAACAAAGTTAAATAAAGTTAAGCAAAGTTAAACAAAGTTAAATAAAGTTAAACAAAGTTAAATCTAGTCATTTTTCATTTACAAACAGAAGATAAATTGGCTTACTTAAATACTTTGTCGTAATAAAGCCCTTGCATAATAAGATGACCTCCATAATACATTGCGGTTGCATAAGCAAAGAACAGCAAACTTCTGGACAGGCCAAATACGATTGATCTCCAATGAACTGTGCGCAAAGTTGACTTGTAATGAGGCGTAAGCTCGGAAACGTAAATTTGTTGTAATTTTTCTTCTAAACCCAAAGATGCTACTGTTCTGATATTTCCGACTGCCTCTACAGCAATCTAAAACAAATGTTATTTTAATTTAAATAAAAGTCAAATTTATAGTGGGAGATACTGCCATACATTAAAATGGGAAAGTAGATTTACTGGGTGTCCCAAAAAAATTATAAAATCAAGTTTTGGCAAAAATAATAATAATAATAATAATAATAATAATAATAATAATAATAATAATAATAATAATAATAATAATAATAATAATAATAATAATAATAATAATAATAATAATAATAATAATAATATTAATAATAATAATAATAATAATAATAATAATAATAATAATAATAATAATAATAATAATAATAATAATAATAATAATAATAATAATAATAATAATAATAATAATAATAATAATAATAATAATAATAATAATAATAATAATAATAATAATAATAATAATAATAATAATAATAATAATAATAATAATAATAATAATAATAATAATAATAATAATAATAATAATAATAATAATAATAATAATAATAATAATAATAATAATAATAATAATAATAATAATAATAATAATAATAATAATAATAATAATAATAATAATAATAATAATAATAATAATAATAATAATAATAATAATAATAATAATAATAATAATAATAATAATAATAATAATAATAATAATAATAATAATAATAATAATAATAATTATAATAATTAAAGTACTACGATATTAATTAGGAATAACTTATCGTAGTACGCTTGTGGATAACGTGACGTAGAACGTTTAAAATTGACAGTCTGGCGTCTAAATTGTCATGCGCACCGACCGTTTTTTTCACCCATATCGGCTTAGGAATTAGGAGTAGTGTTTATGACATGTAGCCATCCAGTTTAATATGAAGTTCGGTGGTTTAAAATATTTCGCTCCATCTACTATATAGGGGAAGTATTACAATTTTTTAACAAAACAGTAGTAAATATTAGGTATATTATAGAGTAAAATCGATTGTTTTATGCACTTGTGAATAATTTTTTTTTCATCTTTTGAAAAATATTGAGTTTGAGTCTTTTTTTTTAGTTTTACGTCCTTCCGACCTCCCGTGCTACATCCTATTTCGTCTATAGCCTGGCGGCACTGCAGCCTGTGGCTTATTGTACCACCATTTGAAGATCCTACTACCCCTACTACTTTCAGATTCACCAATTCACTCCCTCATTTATGGTCATTCATTCCACGTCGTCCATGGTTAACCGCTAGTCAGTGAGTCCCATGGTGTCACTACCCATTTTGGAACCTCCCTGGAGATCCCGATCCATCGACGACGTAACCAGGGAGATGACTACTAAACTGTCGCAAATATATGCATACAAACTAAGCTCGCGGCTATCCTCTCCGACGATTTTGCGACTAACGAGGTCCTGTCTTGTGGCCTTTGATATATCAATAAAGTGCCCTTCAGACAGAGACTAATTAAAAATTAAGAATAATGGATGGGATAAACAATCCAAAAAAAAAATAAATATGCAAGAATTATATCGGACCCTGCGGTTTTAATAGGTAAATTTTATTATTTTTTTTTGTGTAGTTCTTAATTCGTTATTGTGATATCTAATTAACATACTTACTTTTGTAGAATTTTGCAATGCTTGATCTCTTGAATCGTTTTGCCCAGATGTATTTCGCCTTTCAAAGTATATAGCAATTAAAATGATTGGTGTAAATGATGCGGTAACTAAGCCAAGCCTCCATTCATAATACATCGAAAGCCCAATTGCCAGACAAAATGTGGCGATTGCTTGCATAATGGTTCCAACTCGTTGTCCTGTTGCCTAAAAATAAATATGTGTGGTATTATACAGTTCTAGGAAGATAAGCGTACACATTTAAAAACGAAACATAAAAATTCTAGAGCTAGATTACTTATTTGACTTACACCTTGAACGTTGGAAGCATCTGATGACAATTTTGAACATAGAGCTCCAACACTGTTAGATTTTTTATCAAAGAACCCAATTTCTTGGGATATCATGGCTTTAAACAGTTGTCCACGAATTCTTTCTGTCATTTTTTCCCCAGCAATTCCCAGTAAGTATATCTATAAAATAATATAAATAACACACATCTAATTCATAAATTCTATTTAAATTAACTAAAATTCTAAATAAATAATTTGTACCTGTGAAAATGTCGACACGAAACTAATAAGACCAGCTAGTATATAAAACAAACAAAATTTATTCGTTTCAGATCTCACATAATCGGGATCTCCATTTGCTAAAGTCTAAAAATTATAGGCCAATTTAAAATTACTATATTAATTACGGTTTACCAATACTTACACCTAAAATACTACCTAGCAAAACTGCAAATATTGGCATTCCACATCCCATCATCATTGAACCGAGAGCAGCTACACAGATATATGGCCATTCTGGTGCATTCATTTTTAATATTTCAAGTAATGAAGTACTACTATCAATTTTAAAATCATCAACTTCTACAAGCATTTTCTGAAAACAAAATCATCGAACTTATTTAAATATTGAAAATAACGAATAAACTAAAGGGTAATTGTGAAAATTTGTCGGTTTAAATTGCCGAAACAAATACTAGAGAAATAGTGGAGAAATCAGGGTGCTTTAATAAACCAAAGAAAATTTTAAAAATTAAAAAATTCTGCTCTATGTGGGGCTCGAATCCGCGACCATTGGATCTCCGTTCCAACGTCATAATACCTAGACTACCAGAGCTTGTGTATCTGGTGTCCTAGGTTTTAATGCACGTAATGTAATGTACCTTCGACGATGCCACATAGGTAATTAATGAAGTGTTGTAGAGTTGGAAAATAGTTTCTCGCTTTCTCGCATTTTGCGTTCATAAAACGAATAACAGAACGAACTTCACAGTCGACGGGACTCTCAAACGGCAGTTCCATTTTAAATGCTTTCTAACACACGTAACCAAGGGCAATTGTTGCCGTGATGTCATCCCAGCGTTGCCAATAGATGATAAGGTACAAAGCGCGCATGCGCGAAATGTCTACCGCAGCGCTGCAACGACGGATTAATATAACGGTTCTCACTTAAAAAATACCCCTCGTATATATGGAAAACAGAAGGGGACCAAGGACATGGCCTAGGGGTACTCCTGATGTTACACACATACAGTTAGATGATTTCTCAAACGTTACTTTTTGGCAGCGGTTACCTAAATTAAATTTGAAAAATCTTAGTGAGGTTACACCGAAATAAAAATATTTGAGTTTGGTACAAAGAAGCTGATGTTCTAAAGTGTCAAACTTTTTAGAAAAGTCAAGAAGAGTAATTTATGTAGCCTTTCCTTCATTTATTGATTTTATAATGTTATCTGTAAAGTCTAAGAGTAATGTAGTACTGAACCCCTTTCGAAAACCTGATTGTTTAGTGGTTACAATATTCTAAGAAAACACGTATTTGTTATAATTACTTTTTCTATAATTTTAGACAACATCGGTAAAATACTTATGCGCCGAAGGTTGCTAAATGTTTCAAGCTTATTTGATTTTGACAAAAACTTGATTAAGGAATACTTCCAGCTGTCAGGAAAGTAACCGACTTCTAAACAGCAATATACAATGTGCGTTATGTAAGGAGCACAGCATTTTTGCTGAGATGTTATCAATTTCAAAACTATTGGCCTAATTTCATTCACTGCTGCAAGTTTAAAAGAAAAGCTAATACTACGATTATATTTAAATTATAATAAGATGTAGTGTTAGAACAACAATTTCTCTGACTAAATACCGACGTAAAATACTTGTTTATATATCAGTAGGGTCACTTAAGCCATCAGGAATATGGAATGTAGTTTTATTTGAAATATTCAACAATTTCATTGCTTCCAAAGGTCTTTTTGTTTGGCATGCTTGCACGATAATTTAAATAAGCTGATTTTTCTTTCCTAATTGCACTATTAATGATATTCCGCATTTCTTTGTAATGAATGCAGTTTGATATATTTTGGGATCTTTTATATTTTATTTAAAAGTGCTTTGTCTCATGTTTTCATCATCTCGCGAATTGTAGGTGCCAACCAAGGAGCATATGGTTTAGTAATTTTGGCTTCTACATAAGGAGCATGGTTGTCAAATAATATTGTGATTAGGTTGTAAAAAATCTGTATTTTGTTTTCAATGTTATTTTCTTTTCAATGATATTTTCATAAATAATATACTAGGTTTCCGTTGAAAGCGTTTACTGAGAAATATTTATAACATCTATAGGTTTTTAATATGAGAATCTTATAACTAACGTTTAAGTCAATGTTGCAGTAAACAGCACGTTGATCTGAAAATTGTAGATCAATGATTCCTAAATTCAAAACTAAATCTGTTTTTAACCGACTTCAAAAAATCTGATGTGTCCAACACATTACTTTCCTATCTAGTTATTATAGGCATTTTCCGGTTATTTTGTACAACCTATTGCAGCATCTCTATAAATGTTTAGAGGATAAACTAAATATATACATTTTACACATACATCTACCTCGAAACATTTTTCTATAGATATTCATTGAAAACGAAAATACAGAAAAATTTAAATTTAGCACTTTTCCATTACGGTCCATTTTAGAAAAATCATGTATAAACAAAAATTATAGAAATCGATATCGCAAACAACTTTTAGTTCAACAATTTTCATAAAAATCAGAATTTTGCACATTTTGTCAAATTTCTCGAATACGGACCATTTCAGGAAATTTTGACATAAAGCAAAAATTATAGATAATAATATTAGAAGTAACTTTTATTTGAACAATTTTCTTCTCCAAACATAAATAACAGATATATTCCATAAAATATAAAAACGGCCTCCCATAAAGTACCCCCCCAGATGTTCCGACTTTGTCCAAAATCTAACCATTTCACGTCAGGCCTAAATAAACCTTAAGTTTAAAATTTAATGTTTTTTCCTTTATCCGTTTTTGAGTTTTCTTCAAATTTCGAAATTTACACATTTTCTCAAATATCTCGAATACGGACCATTTTAGGAAAATTTTGCATAAAACAAAAATTATAGATAATTATATTAGAAGTAACTTTTATTTGAAGAATTTTCTTCTCAAAACGTAAATAACAGATATATTCCATAAAATATAAAAATGACCACCTCTAAATTACCCCCCCAGATGTTCCGACACTGCCCAAAATCTAATCAGCTCATTGGACGCTGAAACAAAGCTTAAGTTTAAAATTTGGTGTTTTTCTGTGTATCGGTTCATGAGTTATGCGTTATACAGACACACACAGACACACACACACACAGACAGACAGACATCATCGCGAAAATAGTCAAAACGGATTCAGGGGACCTCAAAACGTAAAAATCCGTCGAAAACTCGAGGTCGAAAAAAATCATGATTCCTATACTTTCCTTATATCTGTATACAGATAGGAAAGTAAAAAGGAGGAGGTTATCAATTCGTCGCGATATTTTTTTTTATGTATGTTCAGCGATTATTCTTTAACACGGTGTCCGATTTCAATGATTCTTTTTTTGTTAGAAAGGGGGTATTTCAGGGGTGGTCCCATATAAATTTAGTCAAAATCTAATAATTGGGTCCATGAGAAAATCCTCAAACTCTTCATTTTTTATGTATGTTCAGCGATAATTTTTTAACACGGTGTCCGATTTCAATAATTCTTTTTTTGTTAGAAAGGGGCTACTGTAGGGGTGGTCCCATATAAATTTTGTCAAAACTCAATAATTGGATTCATGAGAAAATCCTCAAACTCTTCATTTTTTATGTATGTTTAGCGATAATGCTTTACCACCTTGTCCGATTTATACGATTCTTTTTTTGTTAGTAAGGGGGTACCTCAGGGGTGGTCCCATATAAATTTGGTTAAGATGTGGCATCTGCACGTTTTTAAAGTCGGTTTTTTAAATTTTTAATTTGTAATACTTGTATTCGTCAAAATTACATCTAATCCACCATGCATCTAATAGTGTTTAAGATGTCGTAGTTATACGAGTGGGCTGTGATATTAACTGTGAAAAATTATAAGATTCCATGCAATGATTTATTTGATTATCAACCAACTGGTTTATGTTTATGTCACCCGTAATAATAATATGCTCAGACTAAGGTAATATATATGACAAAATATTATCAAAATACCCAATAAAGTTTATTATGTTGCAAGTGTCCGTTCGGTAAATAACTCCAATCAAAACCGATGACCTTCCAGTTTCTACTGTTATCCAAAGATGCTTAATACCCTATACTGGATTGAAATCACCGATGGTTACTGAAGTTTTTTATATATCACGGACAAAAATCCTCGCGAGCCACAATCATTTCGAATTATCTTGTACCCAGGTATATTATGACATAACCAACTTTCCGTCATGCAAACTATGTCAATTTTATTTAATGTAACTATGTCAATAAACATATCAAATTTAGAAAATAAAGAACAATTATTAAAATGTACTAACTTTAACTTCTTATTTACAAAACTAGCCATAATCAGTCCTAGATATATTATCTATTCTGTTCAATAAGTAACCACAATTAGGGCTGTTTGTGGAGTGATCAGTGCCAACGTTTAACTTAAATCAAGAATTAAATAATTTACAATTATTACAACACAAAGATTTAGATGTACAAGCATTTGTTTCGTGAGGACCGGAGCATTTGAGACATGTAATTACACTATGACCAAATTGGCAACATTTAAAACATTTCGTTAAATTAAAGTGTTCTTTAACAAAACATTTAACTTAGCCTACATAAAGAAAACATTTTTTAGTAATTTCATGAAAGGGTTCAGCTGATGTCTCTTGTACCACATTAAAAAAATCCTTAAACTTCATTTTGGTAATAATTTTTAAATAATTTGTAGTCACATTTTGTTGATTGGCTTCTATGATTTTACTTATAAAGTTTGTTTGCTCGACATATGATGAACTTACATTATGAATCAATCATAAGTCTTGGCTTAAACTTCTTTGGTTCAGTCACGGTGCATGCATTTTCTACTTCAGAATTATTACATCTTTTTAAATTATCTAGAGATGCAGAATCACTACAATTTATAAGACTACCATTCTTGATAAGCTTTGTCCCTGCCTCATTCGCATTTGCAGCACGAGGATTAACCTGTATATTTTTAATATTTTGGTTCATTGACCTGACCAATAACACCGAATCGGAATTTATCTTAAATTTTGCAACAGCTGAGTAACTTTTTGTATTCTTATCACTTTGCGGCAAAAAAGAACTGATTTGTGATAATGAAGTAGCACTTACAGGAACTTTTGATTAGGATGGCATTTAAAGATTTTAATTTATTCACATACTAATATAAAATTTGTTTTTCCCCAGTCAAACATTCAATTTATTTAATTAATAGCGTTGTATCACTGTTGAACTCACATTTTCCGTTAGATTTTATTTCACAATTATATTCCTCAAGACACTTGCGGCAACGGAAACTGTATCAAAATCAACAACTCTTTAAATC